TTTAGCTTTGTCAAATTATTATTCTACCTCAATAATTGCCACCTTTTTATCGAGTGAGCTGCATTTCAGTCATTCTGTGGCAAGTAGAGTCCTAAACTCGGATTCTGCAACACGTGATTTAGAGGAGACCCATTCCACCTCCATGACAACACAAATCAAAGTCTAGCACAATTCAGTGGTATACGGTTCAAACCAGTTTTATATAAGAAGGTTAAAAAAAACCAAAAAAAAACACCAAAAGCAACACCACAAATTTCACATTTTTATACTGCATTAACATTTTAACAACTGGGGAAAGAATCTGTTCATATAGGGAATTTCCATAGCACATGAAGGCATTTAGATATTTAATAGTTAGCAAAATTGGACTAGATGACCTTTGGAGGTCCCTTCCAGCCCAGACATTCTAGGATTATGATTCTATGAAAATCAGCCATAAAGTTGAAAGCATTAAGAAACATCAACGTCAATGGGAAAGTAGCTGTTAACATCTTCAGGCTCTTTCTATCAAGAACTGGCCGACATGTACAAAATCGCTCTCAGTGGGCACCTGAACAGCCTGAAACCAAAGGGAGACGTGTAAAACAAGCTATCTCCTCAGGAAAGTCCTGACATGATGCACTTTGTACAACAATTGATGAGGGTAACATCAGCCTTTGAAGGAGCAGAGCCAGATGTCTTTGAGTGGCTGACCATTGGATGGAACAAGTGACATCATTAATTTACATCCAGCATTCATAGAATCATAAAGGTTGGAAAAGACCTCTAAGATGATAAAGTCCAACCATCAACCCAACACAACCATGACCACTAAACCATGTCCTGAAGTACCATGTCTACAAGTTCGTTGAACACCTCCAGCGCTGGTGACTGCACCACATCCCTGTGCAGCCTGTTCCAATGCATTACCAATTTAAATAAATTTAATGTGTTGTACATGTAGGATGACAGTTTAAGCAAAACAAGATACATCACTGAAGTAGAACACTGTGCAAAAAATATACTTACATCCAAGTAAGAACATAGAAAGACTGAGGTAGGAGGAAATGCTGGAGACTGATTATTTGCATTTCTCTTTATATGCACCGCAAGAGCTAAACCCCCAAGAAATGTACTGATAACCTGATCAAAGCAGAACTTGTTGGCAACAGTAGGAAGATAACAAGAGGAATAGTTCTGCTTCAAAGGGACTGACGTTGAAACCAGCATCCCCTGGATTTCCCCATGGGCATTTCCATTTGCAACTCAGATTTCCATTCCACAGCAATGCAGCTCTTGTGAAGATCACAGAATCATAGAATGCTTTGAGTAGGAAGTGACCTCAAAAGGTCATCTAGTCCAACACCCCCCCCCC